AAAGTCATTTTTTTAGGGTGAATGAAGAGCGTGCACAACTGCAAAGTTGCATCATGGTAATACTCTGTTTTTCCTCAGGGAGATGCACTGGCAATTGCTGCATGCAGAAAAGGAGGGGTGTATCGCACTTGAATAATGAACATCATGGAGACATCTATAATATCTCCCATTTTTCACCTTTATCCCTTTGTACTCATCACTTTCTTCAACATAATTTGCAACTTTTTTAGGCATTTATGCCAGCTTTGTGTTTCAGAGTGTATTTGAAATGGAGGAGCTTTAACTTTTAGGAGCTACCTTGCACCGTCACTATCTAATATTTTTTAAAAGCATGTCTCAGGTGAACCATGTAAGACAAAACACTGGCTGTTGTTCATTCATTTCTCAGGACTACTAGCAGTCAGAAAATGAATGAAGATTTCCAGGAAATGAATGAAGAGGCACTGGCCACAACCTCCAGAGTTTGCAGAGGCCATGGCCAGGACAGACTTCACCTTCAGGGCACCGACCTTGTGTTGGAGCTTGGGCTGAACAGGGACCCAGGCGATCAACAAATAAAGGCTCAACACTTGCTTGAGCCACTGGGAAAAATACCTCTTTTCCTGATTTCTATTAGTAAATCGGTTTCTTTGCTTGCATACTCCTTGTGTAGAAAGTGAGCATAGCCCTGCAAAGCACTATGGGGACACTCTCTATGCATTGTATGTGTTATTTTTACATAGGGGTGCTTTCTATACAATCAGTGATCTGTTGTTTTAGCAAGGGTTGTGTTATGACAGCTGTCAAGTTTTGTCCAGCTCTGCACGTAACATTACATGAAAGTCATTTCAAACTGTTTGCACATCATATTCATTCTAGCCTTAAATATACCGTGCCCATTTACCACCCTCCCAATCCTGCTGGACTCAGCGCTGCATTTAGAGAGAAGCAGCAAGGCAAAGCTGTCACTCACAGTGCCCTACAAGCACGACCCAACCCTACCACATCTGACAGCTCTTGAAATGGGACAATCCTGTTTCCAAGATGCATAAATCCTTTTCCTGCCTCTCCACTGTTGCATCTGCCCAAAGGGCTGGAATTCTCCCTCCTGCAGCAGTGTGGAGATGCACCCAGTTCGGGTGACATGGGAACCATAGAAGAGCCCTTAGAGAAGGAAACTTCTAAAACTCATTGGCAAAGGCGAGTAATTACAAACTGGAAGCAATGAGTTTTGCAGCTCACCAATAAATGTCCTGAGGCATCCTGCTCCTTAAAAAGTGTGAACAGGGCAGACCATCAAGGATTGTTCTTGAGTCCATAAATTCTTCTTTCCAGAAGACAGCCTGGGACCTCTTCTATAGCTCAGGCAACTTCTTTCTTTCTAGCTTTTCCATAAAGTTTAGGCATACTGCTTAAATTGAACGTGATTTGGGACACTTGTGGCTTGACATGAAGAAACCCCTTAGGACAACGGTTGTGAAGGAAGAGAGGCTGCCTGTGACTAACGCATGTTTAGGCTGGCAGTAATGAGCCCCTTGCCCTTGCAGGTACCAAATGGCCTCACTGGGTTCAACCAGGGCCAATCCTACTTTGTTTTATTTGGTATATTATCTTTGGTTTTCTGGTTTCTCAGATAGGGACTGTAACCCTCTGAAGCGGGTGCTGTACAGGCGGGCCATGCCTTCCAACAGCCAGATGCTACCTGACATACGCTCTGAAAACTGTATCCAAGCAGAAGTCACTGGAAAGCATTGGGAACCGATGGCCTGGAGGCCCCTGTCCCTTACACTGAACGCCAGGGACAAAACGGTGGCATCAGTTGCCCTTACTTTAAGTCACTTGTTTATACATTGGATAAGCAGAAATGTGTTTTTATGCTTAGGAGAGTCTCAATACCTACAGCTTCCTTCTAAAAATATGTCCCTCTGCTGCTGTCCTGACAGACCACGGACAGGTTAGTGCCACCCCGGCTCTCAGTGCAGCAGGATCCTTTGCTGATCAGACGAGCAGTCCGCAGAGAGCTGATTTAAACACGCCGCAGCCGTTGGGCAGCGCGGCCGGGCCTCCGAGCGCGCAGGCCTCGCCTCCCCTCCCCAGAGCGCGCCGTGCGGCACTGATTGAGTGAGGCAAACCGCAGCCCTCAGCATCAATTAGCAGAAATAACGGGATCTTTCCACACACACAGGCGCAATGGGGCTGGGGATGGCGCTGGCGAGCTGTTCCTCTACCCCGGCACAGGACAAGACACCGTCCATGCACAGAAGGACATTTCTGCTATTTAGATTAATCGCGGAGCAATTAAAGCCTGGAAAGATGCAGAGAATCGTCCTCTCCCATGGCATAGGCCAGGGGAACTTTTTGCACATCGTATGTGATGCTCATCTATAAAAACAACGGCGAAAGGCAAACTTGAGTATCGGGGGGGTATTCAGGGATGAACTCCAGCGTGATCTCCATGAAACTGTCACCACGCTGGTGATGCACGACTACCTCGCTGCAATCCCTCCAGCATCACGTGTGGCTCTATGGGCAGCTGGGGAACAGCAGATGAAGGGCTCTTCCTCCGTGCTGGTCGGCAGAAGAGCATTTGGCTTTCTAGATCTGACAACTGCTAAAGTTGACTAAAATGCAGAGAACTGGTGCACGCTCATGAGTTCTTTGCACTCTGTATTTTTAAAAGGGTCTGAATTCCTAACAAATGCTCAGAGGCGCATGTGGTAGATCCATTAAACCAGATTTCCAAAGTCGCACAGATTTAAACATTTGAAAGAGATTCTCAAGTTTCCAAATGTTTCCGCTTAGTTGATAGGGTGTTAATGGGCTATATATTCAAACAGACAAAAAAGAATTGAACCTAAATACAAAAAGACATAACCACCAAAAAGTCTTCCACATGCTCAGAAGCCCGGGCTTGACAGTGATGGCCTTTCACACATCTAGTAGTTCTTGTTTAGGCACCTGATGGCTGGAAAAAAAGAAACTGTTGGGTATCAAGATCCTTAGAAAGTCTAGATTTTTTTTAAAATACTTTAAACAGGCTGGGATGGAGGAAAAATTAGTGAAAGAAATGTCAAGTTGCAGTTACCAAAGTTACCTAACCAAGAGTTAATCATCGTACCTGAGTTTAAAAAAATAAGCTCCCCCCCAACCAAAACTCTTTCTAGTGCTGTATTTTAAAACCACGAAAGACTCTAAAAGTAACATTTCCATGTCCACTAATACTTAATGACTTAGCTTCAGCTTTTACCATTTCAACCTAACAAAAAAATAAAACCAAGTTCATGCCTCTATTCATGATGGTGAGAAATGTTACTCTAAAAAAAAAAGAAATGTTTTGTAATTCCTTTGTCAATAAGGAAACTTCTGCATTAGGCAAAGGACCAGCTAGACTATTCAGTGCATTTCCAATACACTATAAACATACAAGATTCAAACTGATGAAAATAAATGTTAATTGGAAACATTTTTCTCAGTTTTTCATTATCTGAAGCAGAAGGTTATGGGTCTTTTACACACACACACAAAAATCCTTTTCAACCACCTAGAAAAATTGTCTTTTAATAAAAGCTTTAAATTATACTATCATATTTCAAAGGCAACGAACAGTTAAAGCAGCTAATCAAAGGTATAATTATTTAATGACTACTACTCATGCTATCTAACAGGGCCATAATTGCTTGGCTGTGATCACTAGACCACCAGCTTCAATACTGGAAAACAAGTACTTTGCTTGTAGCATTTGATCGACCAATTTCTAAGGTTAGTTCCTCCAATTGGGTCGGCTTCGCAAGGCGAGCTGAGTTATTAGGGAATTAGATAAGCAGTTTGTCACACTGCTCCCTCTTCTTTTTTAAATTTTTTTTTTTTTTACTGTGCACAATTGCATTAGGATGCACTGCAGAGGAAAAAAAATAAAGCCTATCATCACACAAAAAGATTTTCCAGGGCAAAATGCCACTTGTTAAAAAACATCAATGGTTTTGATTCAGTGACACGTGACATTATTTTGTAAATCCCGGCTGAACCCATTCTAGCAACTGAAATGCAAAAACAAATCCATAATGTGGCTATTAAAAATATTTTTAATCTTAATGGCATTTTAATATTTATTGTCCATAGTTAATCTAATCCGATCTGGTGGAACAGGGCACAAGCAGACCTTCTGACATTGCTCTATCGTTT